GTAGGTCATAAGTCCTGTCATAGGGGTGTAACAGGGAAGTGGATTGCATTCCTGCTGGCCCAGGATGAGGTACAGGTGCAGCCCTCCAACCCATACCTATCCCTGAGACCTTAGAACAATCCAACACAAACTTCTCCTGCCATGTCATCAGAGCTGTTGCCTCCACTCATTATCAGACTACTGGACTATAAGCTGGGTCTTACTCTTAATCAACACCTACTGGACTAGAGACTGAACTGCATCACCAAATAAAAAACCTGCTATCAGAAAGGCAAAGTGCTAGTGTATGAGGTAAGCTTCCTGAGACCTCCACATTCTCAGCCCTGCAGAAGATAGTGTGTTGGCTCATAGACCCAATATATCACTACAACAAGCAACATTTTGAAAAGCCTATATATATATATGTGTGTGTGTATATATATATGTGTGTGTGTATATATATATGCAAAAACTATCCCTAACCAAGGTACCTATATAGTGAATTGGTCCCCTGAAAGCATACAGAAATGAAACCGAATGATCATATACAAAATAGACCACAATCATACCCTCAAGGGGAAAAAGAATTTAAACAAATTAAAAATTCCATCTTTATGAAATGGGACTTCTTTCATATTAAAAATAAGATATGAAAGTTCCTTCAGATGAGACAGATCAGTATAAAAACTCTGGTAATTCAAAAACAAAGACTGTTGTGACACACACAATAACACAGGATAACACGAGCTTTTTAGCAATGGATGCTAACCAAAATGAAAATTCTGAAATAACAGTTGGGAATTCAAAATATGGATTGTAAGAAAGTTCAGTGAAATCCAGGATAAACTAAAAACCAACACAAAATTAATTAAAAAATAATAATTCAGGATCTGAATGACATAGCTATATTCTTAAAGAAAACAAACAGAACTTCTAGAAGTGAAAAAAAATTACAAAGGAAGTTCAAGAATGAACGTTAGAGCTAGAAGAGCAGTCTTTTTTTTTTTTTGGAACAGAGTCTGGCTCTGTCTCCCAGGCTGGAGTGCGGTGGCGCGATCTTGGCTCACTGCAAGCTCCGCCTCCCGGGTTCGCACCATTCTCCTGCCTCAGCCTCCTGAGTAGCTGGGACTACAGGCACCTGCCACCATGTCCGGCTAATAATTTTTTTTTTTTTTTTTTGTAATTTTAGTAGAGACAGGGGAGTTTCACCGTGTTAGCCAGATCTTCTGGCTTCGTGATCCGCTAGCCTCAGCCTCCCAAAGTGCTGGGATACAGGGTGAGCAACCACGCCCGGCCAAAGACCAGTCTTCAGAATTAATCCAATCAGATATAAATAAGGGGGAAAAAGTGAATAAAGCCTATGTGAAGAAATGAAACCTAAGACTTACAAGCATTCCTAAGGACAAAAAGAAAAAACAACTAATTTAGAAAACATATTTGAGAGACTAATTCAGGGAAATTCTGTGATCTTGCTAGGGAGATAGACATCCAGATACAAGAAATTCAGAGAACATCTGTGAAATACTATACAGTGTGAATATAACCAAGGCAAATACTCATCAGACTATCCAAGGTCAAGATCACCTATGAAGGAAATCTCATCAGACTAAAAGCAGACTTATCAGTAGAACCATTACAAGCAAGAAGAAATGAGGGGCCTATTTTCAGCTTTCTTAAAGAAAATAATGCCAGTCAAGGATTTCATTTTCTGTCAAACTAAGCTTCATAAATAAAGAAGAAATAAAGTATTTCCCAAACGAGTGCAAATTTGTTATCACTACACTGTTTCTATAAGAAACGCTCAAAGGAGTTGAAACATAGATACAAAAGAACAATACTCACTACCAGAAAAAGACAATACTCACATGTAAGAGCAAAGTTCATAGATCCTATAAAGCAATTATACAATTAAGTCTACGAAGCAAATAGCTAACACATTATATCAGAAACAAAACCTCACATATCAATATTAACCTTGAAGAAAATGGCTTAAATGCTCCATTTAAAACATATAGATTGGCAAATTGGATTTAAAAAAAAAAAAAAAAAAGAAAGACCCAACCATCTGCTGCTTACAACACATCCATATAATGAGTAAAGACACCCACAGGCTCAAAGTAAAGGGTAGCAAAAGATACATCACACAAATGGAAAACAAAACAAAACAAAAAAGAAAGTCATTATTAATAAATATCCACTAGATCTAAGAAAAGCAATAGACTGCCATACAATAATAGTGGAGGATTTCCACACTCCACTGACTGCACTAGACAACTCAGCAAGGCAGAAAGCTAGCAAAGAAACTTAGACATAATTAGGACTCTTGACCAAAAGTTGCTAATAGACATCTACAGAACATTCCACCCAGCAACCCCAGAATACACATTTTTCTCATCTATGCATGGAACATTCTCTAAAATTGACCAAACACTTGGCCATAAAGCAAGTCTCAATAAATTCGAAACAATGAAATAATATCAAATATCTTCTCAGATCACAGTGTAATAAAATTAGAAATCAATGGCAAGACGAACTCTCAAAATTACACAGGACCTGGAAACTAAACAACTTGCACCTGAGTGACTTTTGGGAAAACAATGAAATTAAAGCAGAAATAAAAAATATTTTAAAACAAATGAAAACAGAGATACATCCCCAAATCTCTACCAGACTAGGAAAAAAATAAAATGAATTTCCTTAATGCCTTATATTTATCTATGTATGAATGAATGAGAAGGCTTATAGGTCGTATATAAAGATCTGATATGGGAACAATGTTAGAAGATGATATAGCACTGTCTTCAACATTCTGATGGAAATATTAATGTATTTTTAACCTAGATTTTAGTTAACTGTGAGGATAAAGTAAAACCTTCTTCAAACATGCAAGCTCTGAAAAAAACAAAATCCTCCCAAAGACTTCTAGGAACTATAGATAAATGTGATCTGACAAAAGAGAGAAGTAAAGCAAGAAAGAAGATGTAAAACTAGGGTGGGGAAAGAATCCACCAAAGAAGAAAGGTATAGGAGACTCCCAGCATTAAGATAAAAAGAGAGTTCTAAGGCTGACAGCTGAGCAATAAGCCTAGAAAACAATTCAGAACAGACCAAAAGGAAGAAGGATTTTGGGGGAAGCATCTCCATCTCTAGGAAAAAAAAATAAAACAAAGCTGACATTAATTTATTCCATTCTCTGTATACAGATATAATGCTTAAGTCTTTTGTGCTTTTGAGGATAAATTCAAATAGAAAGAAAAGTAAACTAAAAACTTTGAGATTAAGATGACAATGCCCCTCAATTAAATACTACATAAGAAAGTAAATATAACCATAGAAGAGTAGCAAAATGTTCACAGATATAACAAACCCCAAATATTTCACAAAAACAAGATAAAATGTTATAGCAAAAATGAGGATGGGAAAAGAAGAAGTGTGACTGGGTGTGGGAGTGAGGGGTTATATATTAGGTTGAGTAAATCCTAATTTTCCATAAAATGCTAGTTTTTCATAAAAAGCAATAGATTATTTTGTCCACTGAAGAATCATGAAATAAGAGAGTATGTTTGTTAGTGGGCTATTTGGAAAAGAATAAAATAAAAAACAAAAAATAGTGTTGCAGTGGTTGACTCTAGCATGGAGTGGAGTGGGGAAGTGACAGCAATTTTGTTGTAAACATTATAGTATTATCTTCAATAACATAATGTCTTATAGTTAGAATAATAAATGGATTTAAAATAAAATGAGTGACTTCATATTTTTAAAATATATTTGAGAAAATGATTTTAGCATACTCTTATTAGGAAAAGTTTCCTGATAAACAAAATGTAATAATGTGTCCTTCAGTAGATATTTCTATTATAATTTATGTCAGATGTCAGGCCATCAGAAACAGAGAGAATGGAATGACCTGAATTTCCAAGCTATGATAAGGCAATACTCAATTATTGTGACATAAATGAAATGCTAAAATAATATAATAATGAGACTCCTCCTGGCTTGATGAGAGAAATAGTTCTGGTTTTCAGGTTGGGCAGAGGTAGAGCAGACTACCTGTTTGCCCAATTTTTTGTTACACTGAATTTCACTTACTCTTTGTATTTGGGCAAAATGCTCATGAAACCTGCCATGATGTGCTCTTTGTAGGGTAGCAGGTGGAGGGTAGAAGGTGGGAACAAAGAAAACAACAAAGAGTTGACTAACCTGCAGAGGCAGAAGTGGTAAAATCTAGTTGGTTAATTTTACCTTTTACAAATTGAAGCAAGAGTGGATAGGAGAGTGAAAATAGACTAAAACTCTTATTTAATTCCAATGAAATTTAAAAGATAAAATATTTTCAAAATGATTTTTACAAGATTATGCTGTTTTTATAAATTCTTCCTATAATATGTTCATAGAGAACAATAACAATATACTATTTAATCTCGAATTTACATCATGATAAAAACATAAAAACATAAAATGTTGCATTCATATTTGCAACTTTTATAACACATTTAATTAAAAGTAACAGATTCAAGTGCTTGTTACTTTGCCTCTTAAATACGTCTTGGGGAAAAGAATTCATTAGAAATCTCACTGGAAAGAAACTGTCGATATACACTGCTGACTTCTGCCACCCATGCAATTGCTTATACAACATGGCAATAAAAACAAATAAGAGAACAAAATACAAAATCTGACAGTCTTTTAGGAAACTTGGAGCTAGAATGTGACATACAATTATCATAATAACTTTTCACGGTTTACAGAATAACAGTTTCCAATGTAGTTTCCCTGGTTTATTTTTCTTGATCCAAACTACAGGCATAACAGTATTATTTTCCTAATGATATTTTTACATTTTTAAATGAAGACAGTGTGGTTAAACACCATTGAATAGTCTTCTCAAGACTGCTGTACTTATGATGCCAACCATCATAAGGGAAAGCTAGTTATGATTTTAATTACATATAGCCTATATTTTAATAAAGTCAACATGTCTGGCAAAACATATTTAAAAGAAAATGTGGGATGAATGTCTGCTCTTCGGCTGCTCGGGGGCCAGTGCCCTATGCCGCGTTCTCTTGTGATCCCTGACCTAACCCGTCTCTTACTTTTCCCCAACCTCAGGTGGAGCCACCACCAAAATGCAGATTTTCATGAAAACCCTTATGGGGAAGACCATCACCCTCGATGTTGAACCCTCAGATACGATAGAAAATGTAAAGGCCGAGATCCAGGATAAGGAAGGAATTCCTCCTGCTCAGCAAAGAGGGATCTTTGCTGGCAAGCAACGGGAAGATGCATGGACTTTGTCTGACTACAATATTCAAAAGGAGTCTACTCTTCATCTTGTGTTGAGACTTCGTGGTGGTGCTAAGAAAAGGAAGAAGAAGTCTTACACCACTCCCAAGAAGAATAAGCACAAGAGAAAGAAGGTTAAGCTGGCTGTCCTGAAATATTATAAGGTGGATGAGAATGGCAAAATTAGTCGCCTTCGTCAAGAGTGCCCGTCTGATGAATGTGGTGCTGGGGTGTTTATGGCAAGCCACTTTGACAGACATTATTGTGGCAAATGTCTGACTTATTGCTTCAACAAGCCAGAAGAAAAGTAATTGTATGAGTTAATAAAATACATGAACTAAAAAAAAAAAAAAAGAAAAAAGAAAATGTGAAGGTGTTCCCTGTGAAATAAAAATTATCACTTAATATTTAAGTCTTATTTTCACATATAATATATGCTTAAAATATTATTTCTCCTTCAATATGTCAAATAATTGTTATACATTTGAAATTTCATGAGCTATCACACTAGCTGAATTAGTGTCACACCTATGTCACATGTGAGAATCACCAAATAGAATACATATAGTGCCCTAAAATGGGAAATGGATAGAATTTTACTGTCATTAAAAAAAATTATCTGAAAATCTACTTCCAATATAACTAATATTACAAAAAATTATTAATAATGTAAACTATATTGAATTTAAATATCCTTGCAAAATTTGACAATTTTGATAGGCCAAATACGAAGCTGGTTTTTCCCTTTGTGAATTAAAAATTCCTCAATTTTACATGTTGGAATGGACACACAAGGATAATACTGAATCAATGTATTTTTAAAGAATATAACAAACTGTATGATGTTAGGAATTTTTATGACATTTGTAGAATGGTTTCATATTTTTAAGATAAATAGCCTAACAAGGTACACTAAACCTCTCTTTGTTTTACATCAAATATGAGGGAAGAAAGCACAGCCAGACAGTCATGATGGAGAGAAGAATCAATGCACTTTTAACAATGTGAATTCCAGATTCACAAAGACCCAACAGAAAACTTTGTGGAAAAGATGAAAGCCTGTGCTCACCTTTGCTTTCATAAGTCTCTGAGGACATCTGTCTTGGATTCATTGGGTTTCAGAAAGCCCAGTGTGCTTGGGAGCGTTGTAAAACCAGATCCTCCCTGTCTCTTAGGATGTAATATATCTCTGAACGTTTGCTTGTGGTACTAGAGCCAAAGATAATTATTCAGAATCCTTTTGGGCTTCCTAAGGAAAAGGCTAGAGAGAGATAACAAATAGCATGCTGCTGAAGTACAAATGTTGACGAAATGATAATGACTGAGACAGCATGTCAAGAAGACTTCTTCAGTTAATTCTTCCTACAGCTGGAAAAAAGTGCAGTTACCAGTTAGGCATCATTTGTATTGTTTACTTGCCAATTCTGAGCTATATTATTCTGTAACCTCAAATTTCTTAGAGGCCTTAATGTTTGTATGGGCTGTATCATAAAAGCATAGCCATAGATAACATAATGTAAGGAAAACCAACATTTTTCTCACTACTAAATTTCAATCACTCAGTAGTCCACCATTTATGGTTTCATTAAGTAGAAATATAAAGCTTCCATTATTATGCAACACTACCTAAGATGGTCAACATAGGAAGCACTGGAATTATTTTGATACTAAATTTGCTTTTCATAGAATTTAGACATCCTTTTAGCAGAATTCACTGGTAACGGAACCATAAACTGTTCACTCCATATGCTATTCCATAGAGGGGTAAGATGAATGTGAAGTGTTCACTGCAGATGAGAGCTGGGGAGCAATATGGGAAGAAGGGGATAATGTAAGGGAAGACCAACTGAAGATAATCTCTGGGATAAGTCACAAGAAAACCCCCCTCAAATTTACCTCAAATACTTGGACTGACATCAATAGAACTCCACATTCTCTGGAAATCTTTTCTCTCTCAGATAATCGATTGGGTTTTTATACTATTTGATCACAATTTCCCACCATTGCGACTCCATATAGCTCTAACACGTTTGTTCTTTCATCTCACTTTTACTTTGTTCTTTAGTTCCCTAATCTGTCTCACTCTCTGCATCTCTTTTCTTATTCTCCCTCCTTTTTCTAATAATTACCACTTAAATGACTCAGGTTGCTAACATACTCAAATAATTTGCCCTTCTGCTCTTCCACTCCATTCATCTAGCAAAACCGCCTGTCTAGATTGAAATAATTGTTATTAATGATACAGTAAATAGTGGACCAAGGGAAGTCCATAAGCAATGAAAACTGATCATGTTTTTATGTCTCTGATTACATTTGGGATACCAGCCTTGCCCTGCACTAACTCCTCTAATCTCTTAACTTTTAATTTGAGCATCTTTTTTTCTTTCCATCTGTTCCATCCCTTTCCTCAGAGGCAATTTTTAAAAACACCAGATGAGAACCCACTCAACTTTCTGCCACCAAACCCATAATTGTACCCTTCTCTGAAAACCTTATTAGGGTTTTCTGTGGATTTGGATGCTGATTAGTGAGGGAGACCTTGGCTGGAAGGGGAATGACCTTGAATTTTCCCACAGAGCCCATCTCAGCCATGTTACTACAATCATGGCTATAACCCAGTCATGGTGTGGAACATTTAATCTTTGTTTACCAACCATGTCAGAACCAAAACTATTCTGACAACTTCCATATTCTCCCCTCTGCAATGTGAGAGGAAGGGAAAGTAAGGGTTGCCATCAGTGGCTTGGGATTTACAAAACTCAATTAGTGGCTTCTTTTATCTGTGCTACAGTCTCCATTACCTTCCACTTCCGAATTCTTAACTAAAAATTTAGGAATATTCGTGAAAGGACCCACTCTCCTGGAGCTTCTGGTGATGTTGAGTCCTTCTTGACTGCCCAGCTTTCATTAACTCGTTGATCTGTTAACTGAAATCAACATTAGTCCTTAAGTCGTGCATTAGATATCTAAACTTTTTCATCCTATATATCTGCTATTTTTTTATCCTTTGACCTACATTTGCCCCTTCTCTCTCATTTCATTCTGTATCTCTGTGTAGTTGAGCTTTTTTTGTTCTTATTTTACATATTAGTGAGATCGTGCAATATATTTTTTCTCGCTTATTTTACTTAGCATAATGTCCTCCAGGTCCATCCATTTTGTGGCAAATGTAGGGTCTTCTTTTTAAAGGCTGAATAGTTATTCCATTGTGTGTATATATATACACACACACATACCACATTTTCTTTATTCATTCATTTATAGGTGGACATTTATGTTATTTCTATATTTTGGCTATTGTAAATAATGCTACAATGAACATGGGAGTGCAGGTATTTTTACAAGTTGGTGATTTTATCTCCTTTGGGTATATATCTAGAAGAACGATTGTCAGGTCATATGGGAATTTGATTTTTAATTTCTTAAAGAATTATTGTGAAAAATAGTATGGCGTTTCCTAAGGAAAATACAAATTAAATTTTCTTTTTAATTCAGATTTTATCAGAAAAAAGTTGGCTTTTGTCTTTACGATTTTAATTTTCTAAACCATGATTGTTTATTTGCATATAAATAATATCATTTAATTTATATTTGCTAATATGAAGTTTTTGTGAAAGTCATATTCTACCATGCAATAGCGTAAAGGGTAAATAAGTGCAAAATATGTGCCAATATGTGGAAGTGGTTCCTCAGAAAAAGTTAAAAATAAAGGCTGCTGTAAATTAATTTTTACTTCTAGAAATAGAAAATCTTGAGAAAATTTCCTCTTAATTGATGGATTAATTATGCTTCAGTTATTAAAATATTCCTGCATTAAAATTTTTGTAACTCACTTCTAAAATTATTAATTACTTAAAACCAAAATTTATATAAACTAGTGACTAACTTATTTTGTGGCTTCACACTTGACAAGCTGGCCACTTACTTGGATTTCTAACCCAACTAAATTACCTTTCTCTAAATTAATACCTAAACTTAATTTTTAATGTGACCTGAAAATAAGTTTACGTACTTATAGAAATAAACAAAGTATACCACATAAATTTGAACATTGATTTTTATGTGCTATACATATTTGACCCATTTTTTTTTTCCAAAGTGTCTTTGAAAACTCTGGGAATTTCTTGAAATTGACAATTTTAGCTGCTGTTAACTTGGGTTCCTAATTATGTGGCATATAGATTCACATGAATCACAAAGCATCAAAAGGAATGTTTTATTACTATAGCCTCATGTATCAACTGACAAGTATTTGCTGTTAACTAATTCATTTTAAATCCCTGACAATAATCCACTGTTCTCATCTTTCAACGTTATCTGTTTTTAGAAGAGGGCAAAAAGATGAAAGAAAAAATAGAAGAATAAAAGACATTCACTATAATATTCAAAGAGTAAAAAAGTTATTTCAAATAATAGAAAAATTACTATTTTAAGCATTGAGTATTACATGTGATGGATTTCTTTCTCTCTGGGTATGGATATGTTATCTTGACTAACTTTATTGAAAGCTTTACTAATTTACTTTAAATTTTGTTTAAAACTGCAGCCCTACTTCTAGTGATCTTCCCATTTAATTTCTCTCCATGAAAACTGGAGCTTATGAGAAAGTCTTCAGTTAGACTAATATTTGTTATATCAGAGACTGGAGGTATAAAGCAGTAGAAAAAACATAAAAATCTGAATATGGGAAGAGAGTTTTTATAAATTCTAGTTGTTAAAATAAGTGTTAAAAGGAATACTTTTTGAATGCCTCTAATATTCACATTTTTTCTGTGAGGCTGTAGCAATCAGATTTCCCCAGAAAAATAAAACCAATAAAATATCTCTCTATCTATCTATCTATCTATCTATCTATCTATCTATCTATCTATCTATCATCTGTCATGTATCTATCTACATGTCGTTACTTAGCTATCTATGTCTATCTATATATGAAGAGATTTATTTCAGTGAATTTGCTCACATTATTCCGAAGACTGGCAAGTCTGAAATTTGTTTGCAATTTGCAGGCTGGACGGCGGGAAAATCAAGCAGTAGTTGATGTTCTGGTCTTGAGGCAGATTTCTTCTTCTTATCAGGAACATCCCTGTTTTTGCTCTTAAGGCCTATCAAATGATTAAGTAATCCTCACTCATATCATTGAGAGCTATCTCCTATACTTAAAGTTAACTTATTATAGATGTTAACCACATGTACCTTCATAGCAACACCTAGGTTAGTGTTTGATTAAATAGTTAAGAACTAACACTTGTCAATTTGACCCATAAAACCAACCAACACAGAGGCCATGTATGTATAAGCAAGCCATAACAGCAAATATTTTAATAGACAAATTTTCTTTATTCTGTTTTTTTGTGATTTTTAGTAAAAAGTAATTTTTAAAGTATTTCTATATTTTTCATGGCATCACTATTATACAAGGAGAAATTAAGAAATGTGAGCTGAGCTATACAAAGTGTTGAAATTTAATATTTATAAATATAAGTTAATCATTCTTAGGACTAAGATATCTGAATTAAATTTTGTTTAGTACTCAACATATCTGTAATTGTCTCATTACTTGCTTTATTTGAAATATAATAATTTTGATAGATACTATACTTCCTAAAGTTTAAAGAATTTATCTAGTAATTGACATATTTCCAACAGTTTCAAATTATTTTTCTCTTAATTCATATTTTAACAATTAAATCACTTAGGACAGGTATGTGTTGGCTTTCCTGACCTCTTTTTGTCTTTAAAATACTTCTGACATCTTATTTGTTTTCTATACTGGGATTATAATTAAAAATTATCTTTTGATTATTTTCTCATCAAAATTGAGTTAGAAAAATGTTTTATTATCATTATTATTATTATTTTTGTGTGTTAGAAAAATATTTTATTATCATTATTATTATTATTTTGATTTTTTTTTTTCATTTTACAAATTCAGTGATTCAGAGTCTATTCAAGACTTAGGTAACATTTTGGATGAATAAATATGGGGTTCATTACTTTGTTTCAGGCCATGAGAATGCTATAGCTATAATGCATAGAAGGGCTAACATAGTCACATTATTGCAATCATCTAGATAATTGGGCATTCTCTAAAATTTGCAGCATTCTTATTTTACTGTTTCAGGTCATGAAAACTATTTTTTATTTATAGTATTTTTAGAAATATTTTGCATTTTAAATCTTTAGATATTTTGTTTAGTTGACTGTGTCCTTATCTCCCATTACTTTCAGGTAAAGATGCATTCATACTTAAAATTGCCAGTTCAAAATACTATATATGCTATTTTGTTGACATTGTCAAAGAAGGAATTTAGATTCATACACACACACACACACACACTTCAGTTTACTGTTCCATAAGTGCCTAAAGTGAGTACCAGGACATGACCTTGGAATCTAGGAAACTAGATAGGGAACATGGAAAAAAATTAGTCTGAAATTGCAATGGCAAGATTGTATGCTCTTAGCAATATTCTAAAA